TGCGGGTGTTCTTTTACGTGTTCTTTCTCTTGTGAAAAAGAACGGGGGGTCGGAACAGATGAGCTATTGCCCTCTTTGGTTCGAGCCGAACAACTTTGCAGTCGAGGCAGCCAGGTATTCGAACCCAGCAGCAGCCGTGCACCGACTGCAATCCTCTAGCAGCACTCGGTTGTCTTGCACCTTGAGCTTCGTATTCGATCGCCCTGGCAGCAACAGCAGGTCGCCGCTGAAGTTACACTGTTTGTCGAAATACTCCAGGGCTGTCCAACTTGTGGCCATAGCATCTGCTGAAACAGATCTATTCTGCAGAAAGCATGCTATGCAAGCACAGAACCCAGGAAGAGTCGCTGCATCCACTGGGAAGCCGAAGTTGCTTGCAAGTTGCTCGCCCTTGTAGTCGGCTTTGCGAGCCACCTCGGAACAGGTACGTACTATCGCATGCTTCAGAAACGTCGCAGAATCCGCATGTGCGAAAGTCGACAATGCAACCGAAACACGTGCTGGGGATTCAGGTCCCACTCTGTCAGCAGGGGAACTGCAACACTGAAGAAGCTTTTGCTCCACCAAGATGAGAAGCTTGTTTTCATTCGCCAAAGCTCAGCCATGGAGTAAAAGTGACAGTACCCCTGCAAGTCCTCTCGATGTTTGACCTGGCTTCCAAGGAATGAAGCAAGGATAGAACTGACTGAGCAAACAGAGTACATCTCGCAAGACTCGCAGGGCAGGAACCATGCGATCATCCAAGGCTCCGGCTTTCATGACAGAAACCACATCCTGCCCCAGCGGGAAGAAAAGCCAATCAAAGTCCACATTGTCTGTGTCCTGATCGGAAGCAGCTTCGTTTTCCTCGGGTCTTGCTGACGACACTGGCTGACGAAGCGGGAGTGGAGGCAACGGAACGGCCACTTCGAGACCGTCCAGGGCAGACTTGCTCCACTGACGAAGCTGTTCCACAGTGGCTTTCTCATTATCTCTCCAGGCCAGCAGGAGAGCCCCTACCTCTGCGTGCGATTGCTCGCAGAGCTTTCTTGACTCTTCCTCGGTTCTGCACCGTGAAATTGCACTATCTGCCTCATTCAAGAGACTACGAAGCTCTCGCACAAAGCCATCATGACCCTGCTTCCCTCCTGAGCTTGACTCTGCCATGCTTTGGCAGTGTCGAAGGCTGCATATAGACGTGGCTGTGTGCAGGTCACAGATATCAGACAGGAACAGCAAGTGCACGATGCGAGCAAGAGAGCAGTGCAGCAAGGCAAAACTGTGTTTTTCATCAGTCCATGGTCTCGAGCGAATTGCGTGAGACACGAAGCACAGCAGTAATGCCGTCGGCATAATCCGAGACAAGGAAACCTTCATCACAGCTGTCCTCCAGTATGAGAAATAGCTCCTCACGGAGGAACAGTTTATCTCCTTTCTCTGCACGATGGAAAAAATCTGCAACACGGTCGAAGTCAGTACTGTCCTCTAGCCACGGCTCATTTGCAGACCCCAGCATGTCCTTCCAACGCTTCCTCTGGAAGAACCTTGCCTCGCATCGCCAGAAAGCCAAAATTTTGCCCACAGGCTGGATGACATATGGGCAATATTGCTTGTTGAGGGCCCATTGTCCTTCCATCAGCCACCGACGAGCCATCTCAAAGCAACAGGATGAAGGAACTATGGAAACGTCGGTTTGAGCACTGCTCAATGCACAAGATGAGCATTGTCCGTGTGCCTACAAGACAGGCCCACAAGTCAACGAACCACGGGACACAACACGGGAACCCATCTCCCAAAAAATGGAACGCGTTCCCATCAAGTTTCTTGCAATGCGTTTTCCAGCAACTGTTCCTATGTTTTAACAAATTTCTTTCTTTGAACTTCTCTCGCATCAGGTTTCCTCACGTTCTTTTTTTTTGGGAGTGCGTTTAAGGTTAGGAGAGCGCAGATTATGGAACGCGTGCATTTCCTGATTTTCTGTTTGTGTTTATGGTTGGGAAATGAAACGCGTTCCCCAAAAAAATGAAGTAGATTACCCGACCAAAAGTTAGCAGAAAGAAGATCATGTAGAAAAGCAGTGTGCAACAAGGGTGGCATGGGAGCGTGCTGCCTAAATGGCACGCGTTCATTCCTGGGAGATGGAGGAGTGTTGCCAGGGATTATGTTTTCGTGGCTTTTTTTGAAAAACGGTCCTAGGGCTCCCAAACATTGGTTCGACCGCATTTCAAAATCATGTAGGGATGTTGGTAGAACTGATTCTTCGACTGTGAAGGTGCAGACAACAACAGCAGCGTTTGGGCGGTCCGCTACCTCTCTCTGAAACAGCACCGTCGTCACATCTGTCATGCTCGCAGAAGTCTACGAACTGTTGCAAAGACAGCGATGGCCTGTTTTGGATAAGTGCAGCACAGCAGTCAAGAAGCCTCCTAATCATCGGAACCATCATCGTAGGCAGCCTCGAAAGCTTCGGCCTCGCCGGGGGTCAGATGAGTGCCAAAATGATCCAAAATGGGCCCAAGAGCCCTTTCCGGCCTTGGCCGCCACAGGGACGGCGGAGCCTTCGCCTGGAGAATACACGTTCAGAAGAGCACTCGAGAACTTCGAGGGAAGGCCAACCGTGCACCGAGGGAAAGACCAAGCGACTCCCCTTCCATCTCGGATTTCACCAGAGTCCCCAAGGGCCCTGGCAAGAACCGAATTTATCTGAATTACGACGTTTTGTCGGCCCTGTCCACACACGTGCCTTGGTCCTGCTCCAGCTCCGGCTTAACATCCTCCAGGGGAAAGGAACCTCCGCGAGCAGTAGAAATCGAGGGCGACATATGGCACAGTCTCAACTATGACTCCTGAACCGCATTATGTGCCTTGCTTCTGCTCTGCCTCCTGCTTCACCACGTCAGGGCCAGGAGCCCCTCCAGAAGCAGTGCAATTATGAAAACACCTTGATTGGAACCCTATTGTCGAAATCTAGCACCTGGCAAGTTCTTCGAGCCAGCCGCCTCATCGAAAGCTCCTGTCATGACCCAAAATAAACTGCCAAAGAACAGGAATGACAATAATTTAATAATGCAAGGCACCGTCAAGGACACTAGTGTCCTTCAAGTGTGCGAGCCACAGCAGCACGATTTTTTCGCAGGATATCCTCCTGCGACAAAATGCTGTAACCTATTATGTGTGACCGCAAAGGTTTAGTTAGGTTATAGTTAAGGACTTATGTTTTAGGGTTCGGGGACTGGGCACCTCATGTAGCAGCAAAGACACATACCCCAGATCCTAATTTGTCTCCTTGTGTTGATACAGCCAGGCACAACACTTATCGAAGGATTTCTTGCCGGCGAATGAGAGGTCGCCCGCAAGCGCTTTCGCCTCCCGACCCAAAACCGCGAGACTGTACTGCTCGCCGTCTCCAAAAGCATCCTCCATGAAGTCTTCCAAGGAGGACTCGGATGCGGCAGACCCTACTTCGAAGCCTAGAAGTTCAGGGGTTGTGGGTTTCGGTTCCTTTTTGGGGAATGTACACAGCGATGATGAGTTTGGCTGTCCTAGGGGAGGCTTTGGAGGAATGGAAAACAACACTTTAGGGACACCTATTTCTTAATCCTAAGTAACAAGGCTGTTAAAACCCACCCAAAATCCAGAATTTAAGAAAACCATGAAACTTCTACACTGGTCATTGTCGATGGCCTCCCGTATCTATTAACTTCACGATTTGCTCAAGATATGCTGGACATTGGACTTGAGACTTGCATGTCAAAGGTCCGGCTCAGGCCCCAAATCCTACATCCCAGGACACGTACAAGTAGCAGAGTAGCTCAGTCTAACTAGACATGCAGCAATCCCTAAACCCTAGAGCCTCAAAAGACTTCTAGTTGTTGCTCTGCAATTAAAGGTATATGAATAAGCACTCTGGTTTGGAACTGGAGCAGGAAAGCCCGAAACAAACGTAGTACTGTGAATTCAAACTTTGGGACCTAAGGCTACATCAGTCCATCTCCCCATGATGTCCTCCAATGGATTCAAGAAACACTCAAGCCATCCGCGCAGATGATCTCTCCGAAAAGTTGCTTGTCTGAGTCTCGCTTGAAGAAGAGACTCAGCTCTCCCTCCAAGTGGCACAGCCAAGGCGGACGACGATCCGTCGGTGCCGTTGTCCGTGCAACAGGCGACGGTTCCTGGGAAACAGAGGACATGGAAGAAGAAGGAGAAGGGCTTCGTGTATGGGTTACCGAGTTTGACTCGCGACAGGTTTCGAGCTTCAACTCGAGCAACAGACAAACCTAACAAACATTGGGACACGACAAGACACCAGAACAAGGCGACATCTGGTACACATCGGTACATCATGTTGAAAGGCAGAGCTTCCGTGTGCGAGGACAGCGACTAGAAATGTTGATTAGAAAGTTCCAGGAGCTAGACTGGGAGGGTGAGGACTTATGTATGTTAAATGCCTGAATAACAGATTGCTATCACGGGCCTTGAAAAGACTCCGGTCTAGCGGGAAACGTGTGTCCCTGGCCGTCTTCCGGACATGTCTAGTTGTGCATCTGAGTCAGTGTCATGTCGCTTGCAACGATTCGATGAATCTTCCTCTTTCTGCCCCCTTGCCAATCTCTGTTTCTCTCTCTGTTTCTCTCTCTCTCTGGCTCTCTCTGGCTCTCTCAATAAACCCTGAGGCCCCCGGAATCCTGCCTAGGAGTGAGACATGGCCCCACAGGCTTCAGCGGAATACGACGATTGCACTCTATGTCCTCCGGACACAACTTTCTGAACAAAAGAACCTTAGAGCATACATGAGGCTTTAGGGGTCCAGGATTTAGGGGAAATTAGGGATTATTAGTTAGGCGATGTAGGGTAGAGGATTTGAGGATTTGATGGTGTAGGGGTTCAGGGGTTAAGTGTTTTGGGGAAAGGTTTAGGTAAGACTGGCACAGGGCACGTGAGCATCAACTCGATTGGAGACGAGGCACAGAGAAGCCCGGTGAAAGCTTCGGGGTCTGGGAAGGAAGGGAAGCAGCCGATGGAGGAGGCTTTGACTTCCCTTGCTCCTGCCTGGGCTTGAAACGATCGCCCCAAAGATCGGAGTCGTCGCCGAAGTCTTCCGGCAAGCTTTCATCCTCACCCGCACTGCCCACGGCCTGCACTCCCGACTTGCTCTCAGCACCCAGAGAAGCATCTCTGGATCGGCTCTGATCTTTCTCTGCCTGGCTCCTCAAGGAGCCGGGGGTCGCTTTGGTAGCACCCGCGGAGTCAGCACGTGGAGATCTGTCCGAAGACTCATCTGAGCGGCGCTTGGAACGTCTACCCCTTCTCTCCTTCGGCCCAGGCGATGTAACCTGGTTGAGGAGATCCATCTCCTTGGTCACCTCTGCATCCCATTCGGCCATAAGCTTTGCAAGCTTTTCCCGGCGTTCATTTCTCGTTGCCTCTGGCACTTGCTGCCACTCCACACGGAGCAACCTGAAGAAGCTATACCGTAATACCAGCAAACAGGACTGAACGAAGCAGACTACAACAACAAGAGAGACATGCCAGAGAATGCATGCAGGTTTTTTTTGACTTTCATGCCGCCAGCAGGCTGCTGAATCGAGGCCAGGTGCGTATGCTGGCGGATAATCATCAGCTTGTTCACATCCAAAACTGCAATCGTGGGAGAAGCTTGGAGGCTTGGTCCACACAACAAAGCAGCACATGTCCGCACACCCAGACCACCACAACACTTAACAGAGAGAGAGGGAAGCAGATAGTGAGAGTGAGGGTCAGAGTGAGGGTGAGAGCAAGAGTGAGCGAGATAGCAGGCGAGACAGAAAATGGAGAGAGTGACAGAGAGTGAAAAAGAGGTAGTAGGAGAGAGTGAGAGAGAGACAGAGAAAGAGAGAGAGAAAGAGAGAGAGAAAGAGAGAGAAAGAGAGTGACAGAGAGTGAAAGAGAGGTAGATAGGACAGAGAGAGAGAGGGAGCGAGAGAGCGAGA